CTCATAACAGGAGGTTCCAATAAAGAATGCAGTGCTGCCACCAAAAACTAACCAGGAGAATTCAGGAGGCACAAAAGGAGGAGGGAGGAGATGCCAACCCAAACATCCTGTCAACTTCCTAGAAACCTTCACACTGGAATCTATCTTGCCTGAGAGATCTGCACACCACCAGGATAGACCTTGATTCAGTCCAAGTATGGGCAACAAGCAAGATGACTGGCCAAAGACAACCTGGAAAGCAAAATCCATTATCATAAAACGTGAGACTGCAAGCCACGTGGCAGAGCAGCTCTCCTGGGTTCCCTTACCCTACTGCTCTCCACCTGGGTGCCCCTTCCCAATAAAGTCTTTTGCTTTGTCAGTACATGTGTCTCCTTGGACAATTCATTTCCGAGTGTTAGACACGCTTGGGCCCTGGAAGGGGTCCTCCTTCCTACAACAATTATAGAGGAAAAGATTACCTATTATAGTAATACGTTTTGAAAGTTTTTTTATACTGAGAACCTTAAAACAGTAGGTTCACTGGCATACTTCATTACACTGAAAGGCAAAATTAAAAGCACTATATTTATTAGACAAATGATTATCATGTAACTAGTTATAGGTGCAACAGACTTTATTAAGACAACATACTGTAAAACAGCTTTACAAACTCACATGCTTACAGGGGCAAGTAGGCTATGTAAATTAGTGAAATGGTCAGGGTGTGAGACAGTGGGGTGGGTGAGTACACATCTTATCTGTAGCAGTCTGGATGGGCTAGATTAGGGCAGAGAAACAAAGAAGTCAGTTGTTCAATTGTTTAAGACAACCAAATTTGTTTGTTGCTCACACTACATGTTGGTCAAGGGTCAGCTGGGGACCCTGTTCTTTGTCATTAGAACAAATCTATCTAGATTTGACATATCTATCAAATGTCACTATCTAGAACATTATTGGTTACTATGGCAGAGGAAAAAGAAAGCGCACGGTTTATCTTGCTTAGTCCAAGCAACATTTTTTTCCTTAATTTGAAATATGTTAGAAGGTATGGTAGTCATTAGAACTGTTCTCAGATATTTTATAGCTTTCTTTCTTTCTGTGCACAAGGTACAATAGCACTTTCCTGCCTACTTGCAATTAGATGTTACTATGTGGCTTGGTTGGCCAACAAAATGTAAATGGAATTGATGTGCATAAACTTTAAGAGCCACAAGGTTTCTTTTCACTCAATACCAATAAGATATATTTTCAACTACAACAACTGTGACTATTCAAGAGAACTCTTATATAAGGTAATTTAAAACAAAGCTCAAGAAGTAGAAACAGTTACCAAAAAGTTTACAATTAACTTTGATATTTAATTTTTAATATATAATGAAGAACCAGCATTCAAATAAATAGTATTTAACATCTGATAGAAGACTCAAAATATTTATTTAATCATAGTGTCTGTATTTTCTTATAGTGAAACCCAAGAGTATTGTCTGCAAGGAGCTCCACACTTTGATTTTGTTCTCCACCAATGTCTGTTTCTGATTCTCTTTGTTAGTGGAGATTGGGGAAAATCATCCCCACATTACCACATTTCTGGCCCATTCCCCCACCTCCTCAACCATGTCCAGGATTAGTCTGGGGAATGGAAGTAGACAGAATTGCAAATGCAAGAATCATCTTCATTTATATGTATGAACTGATAAACACTAACTCCTTTATTTACATGGCTCCTTCCTCTCCCCCTATATTTTCAGTACAATTGACTACAGGAAGTATTGGGTCCCTATTAGAGTCAGGTGTAATGGTTAATGGCTATTTTCTGACTTAGGAGCAGAATTTGGAGAAATAGACTCCCTATTATTCCACAGGGACACATAAAAATGTATAGAGGTAAACATATTTAAGTATTTGAGTTGAACATTAAATGTCATATTAGAATATATATTTCATTGTACTGGTGATTGAAATCTGTAAATACTATGCCCTAGAGTAAGTTTCAGCTTCTCTAAGTGTGAAGAAGAGGTTCCGAAATTACATTCTTTCATGTATAGCTCCCCCAACAGTGTCCAAGGATAGTAATTAGATGACTATTCTTGTTTTTTAAATTTTGTAATCTTTGGCTGTGTTGGGTCTTCGTTTCTGTGCAAGGGCTTTCTCTAGTTGCGGCAAGTGGGGGCCCCTCTTCATAGTGGTGCGCGGGCCTCTTCACTATTGCGGTCTCTCTTGTTGCGGAGCACAGGCTCCAGACGCGCAGGCTCAGTAGTTGTGGCTCACGGGCCTAGTTGCTCTGCGGCATGTGGGATCTTCCCAGACCAGGGCTCGAACCCATGTCCCCTGCATTAGCAGGCAGATTCTCAACCACTGTGCCACCAGGGAAGCCCAAGATGACTATTCTTTAATATGAAAAATGATATTATAACAATCCTATGGTATTTTTTCTTTCAATTGAATAAGAGTATAAAGAGTATATTTAATAAGTGGGGCAATATTTTTTAACCATCATTATGTTTTTAATATAATTTGCCCAATATTTGTCAAACATAATGGATAAAACAGAAAACGTTTTTTTCCCTCTATTCACTTTCATAAAATAGATACAGATAACTTAGAGATCATCTAGAACGGTGGTACCCTGGGGAAACTTGAGTTATTTTTGGGGGTCTGTGAGGTCAAACTATTTCCACAATAGTAAGACATTTTGTGCCTCTTTCACTGTGCTTGACATTTGATGGTGTAAAAGTAATGGCGGGCAGAATTCTAAAACAGCCCCGAGGTTTCACTCTCTGGTGGGCACACCTTGGATAACCTTCTCATCTTGAATGTGGGCAAATCCTGTGAATATAGTGGGCTACCACTTCCATGCTTTAGTTTACTACTCAGTTAACTCTGAGTTATTAAAGGACATTATTCATTGGGCTTGATCTAATCGGGTAAAACCTTAAAAGGAATGGGGCCCTTTGTGTTATAAGAGATTTGAAGCACAGGAGAGATTTGATGTGTAAGAAAGTTCTCCATTGTTGGCTTTGAAGATGCAGGTAAAGAATGCAGTGGCCTCTAGTTGCTGAAGGTGCCTCCAGCTTATAGCCAGCAAAGAAATGGGGACCTAGGTCTTGCAACTTCAAGGAATCTAGTTCTGTCTCAGCTATATGAACTTGGAAGAGGACCCTAAGCTCCAGATGAGAACTCAGCCTGGCCAACATGTTGAACTAAGCCTTGTAATACCCTTAGTAGAGGACCAGAGATGCAGTTCCCAGACTACTAATGGACAGGACTTCAAGCTAATAAGTGGGTAGTGTTTTAGACCACTAAGTTTGTAGCAATTTGTGATGCAGCAATGGAAAACTAAAATAGTGGCTAAACTGCTGACACCTTGGCACAAATCAAGGCACCAAAATGTTTTAGTAGTCATCCATTCTTCACTTCCATGTACTCACAGGAAAAGATTCCAGTTTCACTTACGAATGTCCTCAATGATAGAGTAAATAATTTTGTCAGATCTCAAAACTTGAGTACAAGTCATTTTAATATTCTGACTGATGAAACACCATAAAGCACTTCTGCTGCATACTGAAGTACAGTTTGCCTTAAAAAAAAGAACTTGTGTGACTGTTCGAATTGTGATCAAAACTAGCAGCTTTTATCACTGAAGGCAATTTTTACTTGAAAGAATGACAAACTATGATTATTAAGATTTGGGTATTTGGCAGACTTTTTTTTTCCTCAAAAATGAATGAAATAAGCCTATCATTTCAAGGAAAAAACTGACAGTATTTGTTGACAATGATGAAATTCAGGCTTTCATGCAAAAATTAGAATTTTGGAAAACTTAAACTCTCTACTGTAAGTTTGACAACCTCTCCATACATAAAGACTTTTTCTTATGATATCAGTGGTTTATTAATGAATGTGATTTTTAAATATTGCACAGTAAAAGGTATCAACATTTAGAAGATCTGCATAGCTCAAATATTTTCCAAATGATCAATGCATGATGTTACAAAATTATGCATGGGTAAAATATCCATTCAGAGTGCAAGTGACCAATGGATTTTAATGTAGTTGAGTATGAAATGTTGATTGATATGGTTCCAGATTCCAAATTGTAACTGTCCTTTAAGAAACTACCATTTGTGGAGTTTTGGTTTAGTAACAAAGAAGAATACTCACAGTTAACTGAAAAGATTATAAAGTTCTTTCTGTTTTCCAACTACATTATCTGTGTTTTCTCCATATACTTCAACTAAAACAACATATTGCAAGAGATGGAATGCAGAAGTAGATAGACGATCTCTCACTAAGGAGTATATTAAAGAGATTTGCAGAAATGTAAAACAATACCACTCTTCTGACCAAATTTATTTTTGTTTTGGGAATTATAATTATTTTCATAAAATATGTTATTTATGTTAACAAGTCTTGGGCTTATTATTTTTAAATTGATGAATAAATGAATATTTTAAAATTTGTCTCACATTGAATGACTATTATAGTAAATGTTGATAGAAATAATGCAGAGAAACAAAAATTTTCTGGAAGCTTCAATACTTTTTTAAAGTATAAATAAGTCCTGACACCAAGAGGTTTGATACATGTAAATACCGAAAAAAGTTAGGAATCCTTGGTTCAGAAAGGTTTTGTGCCCTGGCTCACATTATCTGTTTGCATGCCACCTGCTAACCAACTTTTAAACAAATGCTCCACATTAATTTTTTTTAAACAGCACACTACTGCTGATATCAGTTACTCATTGGTTAGTGTGGCCTAAATTGCGATTAGAAAATAGACCCACACATGTATAATATAAAATGGTTCAAACACAATAAAGGTTACGTGGGCCTCTCACTGTTGTGGCCTCTCCTGTTGCGGAGCACAGGCTCCGGACACAGAGGCTCAGCAGCCACGGCTCACGGGCCCAGCCGCTCTGTGGCATGTGGGATCTTCCCGGACTGGGGCACGAACCCATGTCCCCTGCATCGGCAGGTGGACTCTCAACCACTGCGCCACCAGGGAAGCCCAATAAAAGTTATTTCTTGCTTAACAATTGCTGGCTTTATGCCACACTGTGATTCAGAAGCCCTGGTTCAGACTCTTTCATGGTTCTGCCATCTCTTGATGCTTTGTTAGCTGCATCCAGCTGGCAAAGGGTAAAAGTATACTTACTTCTTTAAAATCTTGCCTTGGAAGTGGCACACACTACTTCTGCTCACATTTCATTGGTGAGAATTAGTTAACGCCCACACCTGGATGGCAAACACTTCTTAGCTGCGAAAGGGGAGATATTATGTTAGTGGCTAGCCTGCTGCTACCACTGTGAAATAGTGTCTAGAGATTGAGAATTGGATTTGGGTATGAATCTTCATTCTATAACTTACCATCTCTGAGATTCTTTCTTCTTTATTGAAGCTTCATGAGTACAGGGACTTTATCTGTCTTGTTTTCCACTCTAGGCCTAAGTCTGGGTATACAGCAGTGAACAAGATACACAAAATCCCTATCCACATGGGGTTTACATGTCAACTGGACATCTAGGTTAAAATGTTTTTTGACATCTGGGTTAAAATTGATGAAAACACTCAAATTTCATATCTTGTGGAAGTCCAAAGCCCATCCAAGATTTCTAAAAATTCCCGGGAGGATGAGATTCTCATGATTTCAGCTGCTTTCTAGACTCATCTTCCTACATGTGTTGCCTTTTTATTCACTTTTATTCACATTGCCATGGATGCTTAATTCAGCCATTTCACACATCTCCACCAAAATAACTCACCCAGACTAAGCATTTGTGAGTAATGGAGACTTTCCTTAAGACCCTGGTAAGGATCATAATGCTCATTGCAGAGCAAGAATCTCTGTATCCATATTAGCCATTTTTGCTTTCAAAATCCTTTTTCGCTATCCAGTCACCCTGGGTTGCTATTTGGATTTTTTCCCATCCAGCTGCCGGCATTCTACCTCACTGACTCCCTTCCCATCTTTTGGATTATTTCGTAAGAATTTGAATTCATTTCCCTTTATAATTTAAAGCACTTCAGCTTTCTTTAGTTTCCATTCCTCAAACTTAATCAAGATGCTCAGCAGATAAAAAGACCTTCTTTCTAATTCTAAAAGAATATAGTAGTGATTACCGAGTGCAAATAAAACAATTGGTATGTGTTTATTTTCCCTAGGATAATGGCTCAAATCAGGGTTGAGATGATGACTGATTATGAGGGCAGAGACTATGGTCTCCAGGGCCTAGTTCACTACTTGGCATATAGCAGCATGCGGTAAATATTTTTAGAAGATAATTATTGAATTCGGAGACTCTTTGATGAATATTGGGATAAATGACCAGCAATTTAGTAGTTTGTAGTGATGCCATGGGGTAGAAAATGATGAAGGCTGATTTCACATCTGTATTTCTTCAGCATTTGGTTATGCTTGTTATAAAACAAATTAACAAGTATCACTGCCCGTTTTGGTTATTTTACAATATGGCTGTGTGTTCTGATAACGATTGTGATGAAAAATTGGAGAAATAATAACATTTTTCTGAAATAATAGGATAACAAAATTAAAATAATGGTGGGAAATTAACACAGAAACGAGAAGAGTAAGATGGAGAAAGTAAATTAACGTTGTACTGAACTCCTATTATCAGCCTCTTTAAAAAGCGGTGTTTAAGTAGTAATCTCTTAAAGTCCTCATTATAACCCAGATAGTATTTCCCTATTTTACAGATGTGGAACTTGACGTTGACAGTGGTTTGCTAACGAGTGAAGGGGAAGAGGGAGCACTAGAACCCCAGCCATCCTAAATCCTTGTCATACTGCTGCACTTGAAGACTAGAGGTATCTCTTCTAATTATGCGTTATAAGAAGTCAGTAGAAAGCATTAAAGGCAGATTTTGCGACCTGACACAAACTTGCCTGAATCCTTTGCAATCGAGGACCGCGGCGAGCAGCTAAGGAGCTCCTAGATGATCGATCCTCTCCGAGAGCTTTGCGTGCGCGTGCCCGAGATGGTAACGCCCACCGCACGCCGCCGTAGTGCTCCGTCGCCATAGCGACTGCCCGTGGCAACCGCGGAGGTCTGAAGGCCCGCAGGCGAGCTCCGGATTTGGGCCGAGTTCTCATCTTCTCTTTACTTCTGTGCTGACTGTTTTTTTCCTCCTTCCCTCTTTGCCGCCCTCCCTCCTCTTTCCCCTTCTCTAGAATCATGGCGGGCGGAACCGGGGACGTTCGGAAGCTTTTCATCTTCACTACTACTCAGAATTACTTTGGACTGGTGTCGGAATCTTGGGACCAGCCGCTGCTGTACAACAGTCCTGAAATCAACAACTTCTTGGACGACGGGAACCAGATGCTCCTCAGAGTGCAGCGATCCGACGTCGGAATTTCCTTTTCCAATGTGGTATGCTTCCCTGCACCCCTGCCCTGACCTACCTTTACGTCCCCGGGCTCAGCCAGAAGGATGTCGGGTCCGTTTCTGCCTTCCTGTTTGGATCATCCTAGAGGGCCCAGTGCTGTCCCCGCTTGATGAGCTGCGCTGGCCTCGTGCTTCAGCGTGTAGTTTCCAAGCTTGGATCCCCCCTGACCAAAGGAGGTTCCCAGTCCACGCACCTGAAGAGAACAATTCTAGTCTTTCTAGTTTTTTTTTTTTTTTATACTACAGATAGGTTATAGTTAAAAATAAAATATTTACCTTATTTATTTAAACATTTTTTCTTTCTCCACCCTGTTGAGGTTCTTCGAGGCAAATCCTAGTGTATCTTTTTTGGATTATATACGAGTTTAAATTTACTCTAGGGAAAGAATAGTTAGGAATTCAAATCTTTTAAGAAATGATAAGGCAGGAAGTTTACATTCTTTTTGTTGTGCCACATATGATGTATTGATTTATTCATTATTATTTACTGCTGCCTCCACTGGCAAGATTGTTTAAGAAATGGTTGCATTTGCAACCAGGAGATACACACACACACACACACACACACACACACACACACACACACACACA